GGTCATAACGCTCGGGTCAACACGAAAAGAATTGAGACTAAAATCAACATGATTGATCGAATTGATGACAACATCTCGAATAGAATAGAATTTCAAAAAATTCAAGTTTTGAAAACCAAATCTCGAAATACGTCCTTACATTCTATTACCATTTAGATAGTTTTATGTAGAACATTTAATTGATTGTCTCATGAGAGAAATTGTCACTCGTCAATCAATACTGAATATCATGAGGGGAGAATAGAAAAACAAAAACTCTTTTGCTTCAACAAAACATTTGTTCACTCTGATTGCTATTGAAACAAAATGAAATAACTCTTAGTGATCGTCTAGAGCGGCTTTCTGTATTAGTGGAAACAAGTAAATGGTCTTTGCTTGTTAAGCCTTTTACCATGTTTCTATTTCTTCACTTCATTGTCATGGATTTTTAAAATACAATATTAAGTACAAACACATGTTGTTTGACTATCACATTGATTTCATACGTTCTGAATCCTTTCAAGATTTTTTTTCCTGCGTTTTTTACTTAAAATTCATTGGTCCATATGTATTCTTTCGTCAGTTCTATATAAGAGTCTCTATCGACTACGTCTCATTATTTTCTAGTAATAATAAGCAAAAGCTTTTTATGATCTGTTGACTTTATACGTTTATATCTACTGACTTACCTTCATAACTTTTGAACGATTCAAATAATTCAATAAGTTTTTGTGTTCCAAGTTGTTCATGATATTTAGTTGCAATCTGTACAACAACTTGTAAATTTTGACGAATATTTGCTTGAAGCATTGCTTTTAAACATTCAAGACAATCATCAACTGATAATCGACCAAAATAATTAACAAGCCACTTAAAATAAAGTAAGACAAAAAGTTTTTCTTTTTTTACATTTACAAGTTTTAAATTAAAACTTACTTCTGGATTAAGTAAATGGGTATGTACGACAGCTCGTTTAATATCATACAGATCTGTATAATGTTCAAGTGCACGTTGAAGTAAACCAGCTTTTTCACATAATTGTGCGATATGTGGTCGATCATAATGTGTAAACATATTATTACCCAAAATAGCATCAGCAACCTTTTTATTAGAAGATCAAACTTGTTTAAAAAAAAAGGCAAAATAACAAATTTTTACTTGTGGTGCTTGCATTAAATTCATTTCTAATAAACGTGTTTGTAAATGTCCTTGATCTTCTCGATTATTTTTTAAAGCATCAAGTAAAAAAGCTGTACATTGTTGAACAAGATTTTGTTCAAGAAAAACATCAACAACTTGTGTTAAATCAGCTAATGGTTCACTGTCTTGAACAAGTAACTATTATAAAAAAAAAAACGATGAATTATTTTTTTTTTTATTAAATCAAATGGTTTTTTTATCTTACTTGTGCAAATTGAGTACCTTGTTCAGGATTAATTCTCATTATACTTCGTAAAAGATAAATATAATCCGGTTGATAATTAACCTTTTTAGCATAGAGAACTATTTTTTGATATTGACCTGTTTCAGCAAAACATTGAATAACTTTCATTGGTATATTAGCACGTAAATAAACTGATAATGCTAACGTAGGATCAACTGATTTAACAAGATCGCCTAATTGTTCACTACATTCAAGCTGATTATTAAAAAAAATGAAAAAAGAATTTTTTTCAAGCATTAAAATATTTTATTTACTTTATCTTCTTTTAACCATTTTTCTAATAATTGTTTTTTTCCTTGCATGACAACTGGTTTGCATAATTCAATTGATTCTTCTTTATTTAATTTACTTGATTCTAATAAAATACTAAAGTATTGAAGTAATGGTGATGGTTGATTTGCTTGTGGTGGTACTGTTTGAAATTGTTGAATTGTTTGTTGAGTACGGAGTATTCCCTTAAAATAGCATATTAATCATTATATATTAATCTTAAATCTAAATATTTAAGTGTATAGACATAATGTTGATATCTATAACAGATCATATTTCTATGAACCGGTTCTTTTTGGGAAAACTATGTCAAGTGACCAGTTCTTTTCATATGAACTATGTATAGTGATAATGGCAATGTGGCAGTTCTATTCAGTAACTGTTTCCGTTGTCAGACAAAAAAACAACTGATGACTATATTCAATTATCAACATAAAACAGATTCACACAAATGGAAGCTATCACATGTCTAGAATTGATCTAGTTTAACAATGCGAGACGTTTAAAAAGAACTGGTTAGCAGTTTGTCGATCGCGAACTGTTACAGATCTTATCATATCTGAGTATCTCGAGAAAATGAGTTATTAATCATTAATGAAGATCAAAAACAAATGTGATGATAAACTTTTCATTCTATAAAATAAACTAGGCAAATCTTTAAGTGTAGAATAATGAACAGTTTATTGTGTTTTTTTTTCAGTCTCTCACAGATTTAATTGACAGTATTTTACCATGTTAAAATAATTACATCAAAATTGTTGATATCATACATAGATATATTATATATAATCAGGATAAAACTTATATGTCTTTGAACAATCAATATACAAAACTTTTTTTTGATTCGTCTAAATGAAGACTAGATAACATACTTGATACGCATATTTTATCGTACCTATTTTAGCTGACATGACTGACTGGCTACATTGTTCAACACGTATTTGCAAGATACTGTATGTAAACATTCGTACCACAAATTATTAACAGCTATTTGTGTCCGATCATCTTTCCGATAGAATGCTGACTACGCTGTGACATACAACTGTCAGTGTTGGCTAGTGAATATGTAGGAAGGATTCAAGCAATAGAGCGCAAAAGCTCTGTTTCAGGTAGATTTTCTGTTCAAAACTACAGCTAGTCATAGTTGTATGAAAGATATCGGACTATGCTTCTCTTTATAAATGCGAAAACGAAATTTACCCGTGGAGCTGTAGCAGCAACTTTAGCTGCTTCACTATAATTTCCACTTTGGAATAATTGTGCAAATCGTGCAACAAATAATTGATCAGCACCTGGTAAATTACATCGTGCTGACATTTTATATGCAAGTTCAGCATTGCTTAATGTATTTTGAATATATGAAACAACATTATCTTCATCAATACTGACTGAAAGAACCTTTTAACAAAAGAAAAAGAAATAAAAATAAAAATAAAATCAAACAGATTGTATTTTCTTTACTTGTCCTTTACGATTAACAGCAATAATGCCTGATGTTGGTTCATATGGTGCTGTAACAAACATGGTATCAGCACTAATACGATTCATATAAATAAGTGTTCCACTTTCAATATCAAATATGTGTACATAACCATATTTTGTAACTAAATAAATGACACCATGTTTAGCTGATGTTTGCATAGCAACTGGAAAATCATTTGGTGCTTCAGCTGGAAATTGTACATCAATTGCTTTCTTTTGAAATGCTTGATTATCTGGTGCGGGTGTTCCAACTTCGATAATATGAAGCTAAGACAGAAAAAAAAAGACGAAAAAGATAAAAACAAAAAAGAGATAAAAAGAATATTTCTATTTACTTTTCCTCCTTGTGGGCCCCGAACAGCAAATGAAAAAAGTGTAGATGATTTTTTATTTGCTTCAAGTTTAAATTGTGTAAATGCAGCAGCATGTCCTTCAATTGGTTGTGAAACTTTACGTTCAACTGAATAAAGTTGCATACGACCAACAACACGACCTTCTTGAGCTTGAATACCTAAAATTTAAAAAAAAAACATTATTTATAAAATATACATATATACGCGATAATTCTTTACCATTAACAAGAAGCCATTGTAATGATTCATCAGTACGATAATTAATTATTTGACAACCAACTAAACTTTGATGACGATCAAACATTTTAACTGGTTGAGTATCGCCTTCCATAGACCAGTGGTAAACAGATGTTTCTGTAACAATACCAATTGCATTAACACTAACCCATTTCCAAAAAATACAATCTTCTGTCATAGTATATGTTTTCATTCGACTACGCAATTCAATATTAAAAATTTGTAATGTTTTACCAGCTAATAGAAAACAAATAAATTCGTTTGTTGTTTTTTTTATCCTAGTAAATTATTTACTTTACCTTTTAATGCAATGACTTTACTGGTTGGATTCATAATTGCAGAATCGGCTGTAATTGGTCGCTTAATTGGATTATTTGGATCAGCCATATCAATAATAATAACAAAAGCTGTATCATTAACTTTTTCACGTACACATATAAATTTATCGGATTCCATTGTAAGAGAACTAAAACCGATATTTGTAACATTGATACCGACATTTTGTAACTAAAATAAAGACATATTCAAATTAATTATAAATAATTATTAGAACAATTTTACTTGTAGATGTTCTTGAAATTTAATTGGCAATTGTCCTGCCATGTTTACGATCTTGAAGATAAAAAACGTAAAATGAAAACTTAATGTTTTGTTTTTATCATAAAAAAAAGAAAAGATAGAAATGAAGATTTTTGTGGTCTTAGTTAGAATATAATCTTATCTTTGAAATAAGAATGTGGACTACTGCTTGATATAACATAGATAATTGTATTGGATGAGTCATTCTTATTTCTTTTTCGCCTCCAACTACTAAAATAATGAGAGCTGAGAAAGAATTTTTGTCATTGAGTGAAATTAAAAACTCTTTTATAAAAATAATTTAGTTTTCGAATTTAAAATTTATTATGTTTAAAAAGAATTATTTTTCAAACCAAAATTGTTATCTCAATTAGCTAAAAAATGCTACGTAAACTTGTATCATTAGTGATCGGTAGTATCAACGTTTTTATTAATTGAGCATGTGGCGACATATGTTCATGGTATGTTAGTGGTTTCCAGATTAACAAGATCGAAACGAACGAAAGAGAATAATGTAGAATTTATTTATTTACATATGCATTGTTCTGTGTTGATTATTTCAAAAAAATACGAAATTATATTATGAGTCGAAATTTCGATTCCTATTCTAGATTAGTTGTTGATTAAATATATGAAATATTGAACTAGTCTTATTTATGTTCAAATTATTAATAATTGCTGTTATATGCTTTACCATTGTTAATGGTAATGCTAAAGATGATCTGAAAGATAAAATAGCAGATACACTAAGTCAAGGAGGAAAAGTTAAAGTATGTTAAATAATTCTTCATATTAGATTTATGATGATAACTTCTTTTTTTTTGCAATAGCAACATACTGTTAATGTTGTTAATGAACGTGCTACTAATGCTAAAGGTGCTACACACTCAGCTGCTGATGCTATCAAAGATAATGTTGATACAGTAAAAGATAAAGCTTGTAAGCTATAGTTTACTTTAACAGATAAATTTTATAAGTTGGACAATCTAATCATTAGAGGTTATCTAATCATTGCTTGAAAAAAATATTGAACACATGAAAAAAGATCATTTTGTAAAATGTATGAATGCATTGAATTTCTGCACAAATAAATTGAAGTCTAAAATAGAGGAAGTTCAGAAATGTTTAATGTTGCTTCGATAAGCTTAATTAGTGACAATGATAACTTATTATGTGGACTTAAAATAAAAGTATTTTAATCCAAGACACATGTTAAAAGACATTGTAAGGTACCGAAAATCAGAAAAGGTCACAAAACACGTGTCTTGTAGAATTTGCTCTACAGATAACCTCTTTTGTCCTGCGCAGAGTCTTGCTCCAAGACGCGGGACCTACGAGATAATATTCAAGCCTCGTAGGACAGGAAAGTCCCTAAATTGATCGTGATTCGATGCAATTCTAGTCTAGTAGTGCAACTCATCGTGATTTTTCATTACTATCAGTTGTAGCTAGAAAAGAACAGATCATACCAGTGACTAGTCTTTCGGTTAAAAGATTAGTTGGCTTAGCTAGATTGACGTTTACTCAAATACGAACACGTTTATCTTCAAACCAAATTCATAACATATGATTTATTCGTTCATATGAGAAGTTCAATAAAAAGCAAAACGTATCCGTTCTAGTTGTCCAGCTTTTTTTTTTTACATTAGTTATGTTTTAGAATCTAGATCTTCATACTTGTTTTCTTATTACTTTGTTCATTTTATGGATATCAGGTAATGTTTTTATTGTTCCTTTCATTTCTGTTAGAAAATAGGTAATGAGACCTATTAGTATAATAAATATTGTAAACAATTTTTGACATTATATCTTATACACAAATAATTTTTTATCCTAGTCCAGAGTGCAATGAAAATATCGTTTTCTGTTAGAAATCTTTCTAATATACATGAATGAATTAAATCACCTTGAAATTTCTACAATAAACGAACAACAATTTATAAAAAATTCGACACCCTTTTTTGTGTTCATCTCAATATATACTAGATTTAGATTTACAAACACTTGTCTTATTTCAAGTCCAGTCTCAAATGTACATCTAATAGAAAATGAATAAGAACTTTTAAATCATGCGTTTTTTACAAGCATTTTCATTTAAATGATCGAAACAAAAACGTGCTCAATCGTTTTGAACTTCTAGAACTGGTTATATGTGTTGATGAATTTGATAGATAAAGGTTTATCACGATGCATGCAAAAATAGATTGTAGGATAAGACGATTGTCTGGAAAAATAATTAATGAAATCAAAAAGGTTTATTGATTTGTGACTTTTATGATACAAAATTTTTCTTAAAATTAATCAGATTCTTTTTTCATAAAAGAAACTTGTGTCAATTATTTTGTTCAAGAAAATGAGACAGCCTTGAGTATAAATCAAGTCAAAGTTATTCAATTTTGATATTGTCTACTATATACTTATGAGAAAAATAAATGCACAAGGGGTACAATGCATGATCATCATTAAATAATAAACATCAATGATCAACAAAGATTCATCATCGATTTCTCTTCTATCAAAAAGTCACTGAAAGATTCTCTTTAGCAAAAACCTAATTACTCAATTAATGAATCCTGAATGAAGAATACAACTTTGAAACTAATAAATTAAATATGGAATAGTTTTTTTTAATTTTTCGGTACACCAAATATTATTATAAATTGCTTTTCCTTTCAACATACTAGATTATAGTATAATATCAAATGCATTTTAACTCTATTATTGATTTAGCTGAAACACTCAAAGCTGGTCAAAAAGCAGCCGGAAATCCTAAAGCAACTGCAGGCAAAAAATTGGATGAAACTAAAAAAGCAGGTAAAGAACTTAAAAAGAAAGCTAGTGGCAGTGCCGAAGATTTGTAAGTGAAATAAGCAGAAAAATGAAAACAATCTTGTTTCTTTTTCTCTCTAGAAAAAATACAGCTAGTCATACTGCCAAATCAGCTAAGAAAACAGCTGAACATGTCGCCGCAAAAGCAGCAAGTAAATATTGAAATTGTTTGTGTCTTGAAAACCATACATATATATATATTATGCAGAAAAAGGTGAAAAAATCAAACAGCAAGCAAGTGATGCCGGTGAAAAAATCAAAACAACGGTTGAAGAAACTAAGAAACAAGTAGAAAAACAAAATGATGGGTTTGTTGATAAATTTTTTAATTTTGTTACAGATGTCAAAAATTCAATTTTGGGTAAATTAAAATTTTTAAAAATAAAACTTTATTCTTGTTCTCTAATCATATCTATAGAACCTGTTGGATTAGCATCAAATGTTGCTGATGATGTAACTGATCAAGCTGCATCGAAATTGGATGAAGTTTCTGACAAAGCAAAGAAAGTGGCTGGAAAAGCCAAGAAAAAGGTTAAAGAAACAGTTGATCTTTAATGAATCTAGTCAATAAGAAATGACATTTATTATTCACAATTATTTTCTTTCTCAGAATTTACTCATTTGTATTTTTTTAATTACCCTTATCACGCATCGCAACAAAATAATCAGGCTTTTTTTCAGAAAATTCCAACCAAGGCTTTGTAGATTGTTCATACTAACTTTTTATTGCGCTTCTCATGATTCCAGTTTTTGTATTATTTTATTTTTGATGCAACATTTAACTATTTTATGTGTGTAAAGTTTTGCTTTTAAACTCGCATTTAACTTCCTAGGATATAGACTTCATACTCATATATATTTAAAGACAAGACATCACTTACCAGGGAACTCCACCAACTGATTAAAAGCTTGTGGGCTCATATTTTGACCATAATTAGGACTTGATGGAACTAGAAGAGCTCCAAAAGGATTTGTCCCCATAGACCTCTTTAGCTAAGTTACGAATGTCTTAAGTTTATATCCAACAGCGTAGATAAACTAGTTCTAATGATTGAATTACAACATTGTAATATTTCTATAGAAGACTCTCTTTATTCTTTTGTTTATACTCGTTCTGATGTGAGCTGCAACTCCAAATGAAATTAAAAAAACCATATCCGTCAAATGAAAATGAAAGATAAACTATGGATGATGAGATATGCAAACAAAGCAACAGGTACAACTAATTGAGACATGCATATGACGGTTTTTAAAGCACATACCTGAAACAATTCTATTGTATTAAAGTATTAATACTTCATGCTTCTTTTCTATAGCACTTAGCTCATCAGGCGAACATGACAATATGATTTTTTACCATAGCTTGACGTCTTAGCTATGAATATCTCAAAAAGAAATTTTTCTTTTGAAATGTTACAGTATTGTAATTCAAGAAAAAGAAGCAGTTTATGTATGCTTCTGGTTCTAAACTTGAAACATCCGTATCTCAACGAAATATGTCTATGGGAGCAAATCCTTTTGGAGTTTCTCTAGTGCCACCAAATCCTACTTATTGCCAGAATATGAGCTCAAAAGCTTTTAATCAGTTGGTGGGGTTCCCTCGTTAGTATTTTGCTGACTTAGATTTGGTTGTTTTTTTGTTTGTGTAAATGTGTGATTAATAATTTTTTTCTAGAATAAAGAGTAAAATTTTGTTAAAAAATGGGCTTTTTTTTCCTGGAAGGTTTATTTATTTTTCTTTCAGGTTTAATATGACAGTTGAAAATTCCATGTTCCAATGCAGAGTTTTAAGGAAATTTTTTCTGCTAATTGTTGTTGCATGTTTTGCGTCGATAATACATAGATACTCAAAGAAAAACAAATAAAAATACAGTCGTTGATAGAGCAAAACATCTTTAACATGATATTATTGAAGAAACATGAGGATCAAAGAAAATCTGCATCCGATGATGTAAAAGCTGAAATAAAAGTATTTGCAGATGCTACGAAAATGATTGGTCAATAGGGAAAGAATGTTTGATTTTGTTTTTACAATTTATTGCATCGGACGCTAGTAACACATCACCTGGACGATGATGACTTTGAGTACTTTAAACACAAGCCATTCAGCGCCAAGTGAAAAGAATATATAAGACAATTGTGATTAATTAATATAGGTTAAATGAATGAAGATTGTGTTGTGTATACATACAATTTTCGAATTCTGATAACTTAATCAATTTCAGTAAATCTCATGACAATTTGAAAATGATGGTATATACAAGAATAATTTTCCATGTATAAAAGCACTGGATATTAATGATACACAAGTAAAATTCCTATAGAAGCAACTTAAAATGTTAAGTGGTGAGTATGAAATTTTGCAAATTGTCAAAACGTTTGAGAAAGGTTATGTGATAGTGTACAATAAAATCAAGTTTCAAAATGTTATACGTCCAATGTATTTACCTTAACTGAATAGTCATATCAATGTAGTCTATGTCGAAAATATCCGTTGTGTCGATATGAAATACAGCTTAAGATTCCAGGCAATAGTGCAGATGCAATCAAAATTATGTTTAAAAATGCGCATTCTCATGAACAATTTAACATTAGTACATTTTTATTTCACTTCTAATATTGGTAGTTCTTTTTGTATTCTTTGCTACTAAATACTTTACACAACAAACGTAATATACAGCATCATTACAAAGAGATATGACACAAAATTACTTGAAAGAAATTTTCGTTAGTAGTGTACAGAGCATCAGATGTTAATCGAAATTTTCACTCTTTTGGTACTACCTTGATAGCCAGTAGCAAGAGTTGAGCATTTTATAAAGAATTATTTAACCAATGTCGATTGAAATTGGTGTATCTATGTAACCATATATATATTTTGAATTATTTAATGGCTGATGGTATACTAAATAAGATACTTTGCAATTTTTTCTCTATAAACATTTACAAAATTTCTATTTAAGAATAGTAACTGCTCAACAGGAAATTTTTCCACAAGCAAAATGTTTAATATATTGGACTCATGTATTTCGTTAATTTTGAGAACATAGAAATTTGGTTCCGAAAGATAATTCGAACCAAACAGTTGCTGATATTTATAAACTACAACTAAGACTTTTAGATATCATATTTGAATATAGTACATCATTGTTAATTCAAAAGTGGGATAATGATTTACTTCTTCAACAATTTCAATAATATTTTTTGATTAATAGGTAACAAAAATTTTGCTATGGGTAAAAAACTTATGATGCTGGCTTTGTGATAGGTAATTACAAATAACTTTACTATTGTAGATACGACGATGCCGCACTTATATTCCTTCAACAAATAATGGTTTTGCATCGATGAATGACAAAATTCAACAGCAATACACTCTCAGAAATAAACTTTATTTGTCGTCATTATAATCAAAAATAGAGGAGATGCATAATGATTAGTCAAGAGTATTGGTGTCACAGGATTTTTCTACAAAAATCCTTCAATACTAACTGACTTATAAGTAAATGCATTCAAATGATCAAGTTGTATTGATGAAAGTGATGATTTGCATTGGTATAATACGTAGCATATTGCTCCATCACCAAATGCATTTATAACATTAGCAATTAGGTTACAAATATATCAATTACAACAACGAAAATCATTCGATGAATTGGTTACATGGATGAAATCATGTTGGCTAGTTGTATTACTTAGTGAGTGTATCTGTCCAAATGGTATACTTTGCATTTATATAAGCATTCGATTGGTTTATATGATTTAAAACTTATGAAATAAATGATTGAATTACTTCTGTACTCTTTCCCAAACGATGTGGACAAGGAAGATTAAAAAATATTCGATCTGCATTGTGTTAAAAGTTGATAGTTCTTCATTATAATCAAATGTATTTGTTCATCTTTATTGTATTGATTATCCATTTTTCACTGTTGTTTTTATTTGGTAAAAATAGCTGTTTTTTGTGCTTATTTAAAAATTAAATAATTTAGTGCTTATTTGTCTTTTTTTTGTTTCGTGTTTTTTTCACATATAATTAATTTGGTACGCAAATGTCTTGATTTGTTGTACTCGAAACACATTTTCTCAATAATTTCCTCGCTTTCATATTCTTTTTTCTGTGTTTTTTTTAATCTTTCATCTCAACCTAAGTAATCGATTTCATTGTAGAAAGAAAATATATGTTCGTAGCCTATGCCTCACCAAAATACAAAACAAATGCAACATGATGCATATTTGCAGTCAAATAATCGATGTTAACGGAATAGATATATCATAGAAATCTTCATGTCCTATGTTAGGCAAACCTAATGGAAAAATAGTATGCATTTTAACAAGCAAAAGATACCTATACAAAAACAACGAAAGCCCAGATCATTTTTACTATCTCTGACAAAAGAGAGTTGAAATAGAAAATATTGATTTTCTAATTTATAAGATTATATTTTTTTCATCGTTGTGGAAACGTTGAATATCAATATCTTCTCTTTTTCATATGTATATATCAATCGAAGGTAAGTCAAGTATGTACAAGAGAGTGATTAGTTGATAATAATACGGACGATTAGAACGTAATTGAAATAAAGTCGGTCCAAGCTGCTTTCTATTAGGCATAAAAACGTTTGTATTCATGAATGCCATATGAAATAATGTTGTCGACAAATTCGATAACTGTAGAATGTGGGCTATAATCTAAATGAGGTGCGGTCAGGTCAATTACAAGTCTTCATGGATGGTTTGTTTACTGAATGTTCTCTACAAGTCATGAATAGAGAATGAATTCTGCATAAATAAGAACTCCATTTTAGGTTTTTTTCAAATACATATCGACGTTGGCACATTTCTTTGTTCAGTAATCCATTTTGAACGACATCAAGTGAAAAAAGGTCTCGATTGTTGTCCTTGAGTGTAAACTTTGCCAACTTTCGAACATAATGTTTTTCAATGCAGACCAAGTACACGTTTGTATCTATAGTGATATTTCAGTTAGAGTCATATAATCAGACAGAATTTGTTGAACATTCTTAAAAAGTTCAAGCCTATATTCGTCTTGTGCGCATCTTTTGGAAATAAAAGGTCGCTGCTCATTTTCATCAACATATTTAAATAGTGCTATGAATATTCAAAGGAATACTTGATTATTAATTTTGCATCTTACTAAACTCCATAGAAAATTCATATTCATATTTAGGGAGGGAACGTTCTCAAGTGCTCAATCGCTTTTCACTGAGGACTATTTTCATTCGGTCGGTTATGATGAATAGTAAAAGATGCTGTTTTAATTTAATTATCCGGTCTTCATTTATTGATTTATTGATGATTTACTCGGCTTTTGCGTTTCTTTATAGTGTAAATATCTTAATAAGGACATGCTGATTCGAGTTCAAACTTTGGCGTATTCCCAGAGACTATGAAACCTATCTATAGTCATTGTTTCAGTTCAAAATTCATCTATCCAAGTTCCCAACTATCTTATGTTCATAGGACACAGGTCGAGTAAAATCTCCATAATTCAACAAGCGAAGATGGAACAAACAAACGAAAACAGATCTTTTACCACTCATCATGAACTATGGAATAGTCATAGTCTCGAGCAAAAAATGATTAAACAGTTGAGAACGTTTCATCGTGAGATACGAAATGCTCGTTCTTTATACTATTGAGAGCATGACGATTGACCACGTCTTGCTTGTTCGACAATGAATATTTGAGTTGAGGATGTGGATATAAATTTCTGATGAAAGTAACTGATTATGGATGCAATAATGACGGAGCACTGTTTACCACTTCACTATAGAATTGATGGTACCGGCCGATTTCTAGTTAGTTACCGCTACTATGTGAAGTAACAAGTAACAAAACATTGAGCGATTAGCTGGCCGGTTAGAAGTGACATGTTTTATGAAAATAACATTGTTTGATAAACTTTGATTAAAGGTTTTTGTGGTTGAGGTACCTAGAATTACAAATGATTTCTTACAACTTTCTAGTTCGTTGTTTTTTGGTAGACCTATCACAGATTCGAATTTATCAGTCTGGAACGTCTTCCACCAAACTTTCTGAAAAAAAACTTCATTTTTGCCGAATAGACATCTCTTGACCACAAGAACCATGTTTACAAAATTTCGTTACTCATCACCACGTAAACTGGTAATAGGTCTGTTACCAGTGACTCTGTCACTTAATGGGCTGCTAATGATAATTTAAACCTTCATTCAGTTACTGCATTGACTACTGAGACCATTTATTTAGCAGGTCAATTATTCATATTTTTCCGTAGTTCTCTATATGCAACCAGATAACTTTTTCATCACCCTTCGTACTAATCAATTTATTCGAATAAAATTCTATGGAAAAGTGCGAAAGAAATTAATTTGTTGTACAATAAACAAGTGTATTTTACTGAATCGGTGAAACTAGAGAAACAAAATCATTAATATCAAGTCAATTCGATTGTCCTGAGAAACAGACAATAATTGACCTGTGTCTAGTTCGATTCTGTTTCTTCTGATGGATCTGAAAATCAAAATCTAGACGCAGGTCTAGTTCGATTTTCTGTTGAAATCTTAAGAAGCCTTAAGGTTATATCTTTGAATGTCTGCGAATCTCTATAGATCTCCCAAGGTCCATACAGTGCCAAGGAACATTCAGCAATATCATTGGATATTGTGTCCTAAATTATATTCATACTTTCAACATCTGACCTTAAATATTATTCGACTAAACCAACACCTGTCATTTCTCTCTGAAGTATCTTCTCATTCACTGCAGAATATCTAAACAAGAAGTTTGTATCTTGTAATGACTGCATAATGTAACCTAAACGACCTCTTATTCATAGTTCCAATAAAAATTGAAGCTGATTTCAACATAGAGAGAACTGTTAACTGATTAGAAAATTCTCGAGATGATTGTTATCATTAGAAGGTAATAGCTTTGCAGCATACAGTAAGCACATTAAGGTGCATGTATAGGGAGTTAGCTTAAATCTCCGGAATTGTATATTGATTGTTCATGAGTAACAGAAATAAGGAAATAATCCATTCTGATGGGAATTGTATACCTCTTATACCGAGCATTAGGAACTATATTTTTGATCTTTGATTAGGACAACTGATTGTACACCATTTTCAGCTCTAACACATTCTTGGTGAATCATTCATTCAAGTGCAATAGTTCATTGGAAAAATACCGAACGAAATATAAAGATAGCACGCATCAGATGCATAAATGGACCAGAATATGGGTGTGAATATATTGGTGAACTAAGTATTCATTCGACATACCCACATCCACAACTCGTTTGCAGCAAGAACCTTTACTAGGAGGTTTCTGAAAATAGACAAGGGCCTCTGAGCCAAGAGTCACAAAAAGGTTTGCGTTAGCATTTGATTTTGTCATTGATCATCTCCAAAAACATAAAAAGAAAATCAATGACATGCTCGCTATTACAATCAATATTTTATTAATGCTCACCGAAATGATAAAACTAAATACTAAAAATAAAAAGATTGACATAAATCATTCCATGGATGGTTGCTCTACGTGTATCTTTTGATCGTTATGAAAGACAAAGTAAAACAGAATGCCAACGAAGAATGCTTCAATCGATAGTGCTGCATACATCCACAGCAGCTTCGGATTGACTGTCACTGGTACAAGGGCAAAGTTCAAAATACTACCAATGGCCGATGTGAATAAGAAAAGTGACATGATAATGGATTTCATGGAAGATGGTGCCTAAGTAAATGCGTACTCCAGACCAGTGATCGAAGCAAAGATTTCAGAGATAGCAATGAAAAAATACGTTGGAATTTGCCAAGCTACAGTGATATCGTTATATTTTTGTTGTCCTTCTTCTAGCTGATTCGGAAAGTCAAAATTCGGACCAGAAGCATAGATTCGACTTTGAACAATTGCTGCCCATGCCATAGCAACAGAAATACAAAAGAAACCACAAGTAATTCGAGCAATTGGTGCAAAGTTGATTTTAAATCGTCGCAAAGTAGGATAGATCAATTTGTCGAAAATCGGAATGAAAACAATCAAAACGATCGGATCTATATTTTGTAAAATATCATTGGGTAGAGGACCTGAAAAGAAAATCGGGAAGAATCAAAGATCGGACAGTGCCGAGTTTTCTTTATAGTTTCAGGAAAGTCACGACCTTACCGACATTCATTTGCGCAGCTTGTGACACTAAATTGGTTCCAAACTGATTGTAGCAAAACCGATACAAAGGGTAGAAAAGAAAAACGCGACAAGCATTTACTGCTTTTTTTAGATCATCAACAAACCGATTGCTGTTTTCTGTTGCTACTATGTCTTTTCCGTCTTCATCGACCTGCGATGAGATTTCCTTAGCATAATCCAAAAGATTTGGATGATTAGGTAGTCTACCCAATCTCCACCGATTTCCGATAGCAGTTCCTATCACGCGACCTGCGCGAATGAGTAATGAACCAGATGGAGGTTTTCGAACATATCGATTGCCACCGATGATCAGGACAACAATGGCACCAATGAATACGATCAAAGGTAAAAGATAGGCGAGCCAGAATGAATGATACTTTTCGGTATTAGTAGTAATGATCGATGATAGTGCACCAATATTAATGGCCCAATAGAACCAATTGAACATCGATTGCATTGTTCTAAAGCAACGAACAATATGGTCGTATGAATAAGAAAATAAACTTTCGATCAACGTACACTTTTGGATCAATAATTTTCTTTTTACCTCTGATTTCTATGAAGAAACAAAAAGATGGATCTTTTCTTCGAAACATTTTTCAGTTACCTGTGATAACAGGTGTTGTTCTAGTATATTGTTCAGCCATCAGTGGACTTACATTACTTTTTACACCACCAGCACCAGCACCCAGAATGACCATGGCTATGACCAAACCTGGAAACGCGACACCTTTTTCAATAGATGGTGATATACTGCTAAGAACCAAAATGACTAGGCCAACCATATAGACCACGCATGCAACAATAATTGTCTTGTATTTACCCCAGAATTGATCGGCTAGAATGGCACCCGGGATCGGCGCGAGATAAGAGAAGAATTGAAAAAAGTTGTCAATGCAGTAGCAATTTGTTGTCCACGACCGAGGGCACCAGGTTGTGTACTATTTGGACCAGGTGCCGGATGTTGAATATAATTTTGAAAAGGTCCCGAAAGTCCATAATAGGCGAAACGTTCGCACAATTCACAAATGACAATAAGCCAAACAGCAAGCGGTATATAATCAGAAATATGTTCCAATGTTGTTAACTCTTCGGTGGTTGGTTCAATTTCATGGGAATCATCGATTTTTTCGATCGATTTTGCTTCGACGATGGCCGTACTGTTCGATTCGACATCGTTAGTCATACTCATTTTGCCCTGTATGTCTCTAGTATTTTGTCTCCCTCCCACAATTACTTAACTTTTTGAAAAGTCTTTATCGGGTCTCCCCGAACACAGCAGAGATAAGTCTGTTTTCACTGTCTTTCTCTCACTCGACGCAATATTTATATATATTGCTTTCTCTTATCTTCGCACATCGAACATGCTTCAGTCAAGTGCCCATCATTTGCTATTGGATATCAGCATTTTTTATGGATCTTTTCGATAATCAGATCAAATAATGGCAAAAAAGCGTTTCAGTGTCGCATCAAAATATTGTCATAATCAATAACAAATAGCATTCGTTTCTACAATCGGCCTCGACGAAAATGCATCTAAAATTGCGCGTATTTATGAGTAAAAATAATGGATATGCTAAAGTCAACACTGACGCTGGCATTGCATGTGGATAAAGGTCAAATAACGACACAATCTCACGAGGGAACCCTACCAATTGCTTCGAAGCTTTAAGGCTCGTGTTTACGGCACAAGTAGCGCTTAGTGAGATTCGATGAATCCTAAAAGGATCTCCTTGAATGGGCCTATTTGGCTAAGATATGAACATTTCAAGTTTAGGATTGAAAATGTAGATAGATTGCCTGTTGTGCATGAATTATAATACTAACATGTGTCAAAAGAAAAATCTATTTTTCAAAATACTTATAGATTGAAGTGTTTTATGCATTTTCCATAAATCATTCTGAGAGCGATGTAAACATGCATAAAACCCTTTTATTCGTTGGTATAATAGATGAAAAAACTAGAACAGACAATGAAATCGTTAGAACAACTGAAACACGAGTTGTTAGTTTTTTATACATAATAGTTTAGTGAATGTAATAACTAACGACAAAATGACCAAAACATAGGTCTTTTCGACACCCACTACACGTGTTGAAAGGCGATCGATCGCATGACTTTTTGCTACAATCTTGGTGCTTCTTTTATGTAACGGCTAGATCATCAAATAAACATCACAGCATAATTCTTTCAACAGCTCCACGATTTATTGATAAGCGTTTCAACAATAAATTCTGCCTTAATATATGTTACTATTGTAATTCATGCGCAACAGGCAATCTATCTACATCTTCAATCCTAAACTTGAAATGTTCATATCTTAGCCAAATAGGCCCATTCAAGGAAATCCTTTTAGGACTCATCTAGTATCACTAAGCACTACTTATGGCGTAAACATGAACCTTAAAGCTTTTAATCAGTTGCTGGGGTTCCCTCGTCAGATCATTTCACGAAAAACAGGTCTAACATGGATTTTGACACTATGATCCGATTCATAGTTACGAGGTTTGCATGTTTCGAATGAGATCTACAGGCAATTAGTCAATGACTTTATTGTCATATATAATTTGTGAGATTTATTCTCAATTTGGTGATGAATTGTCACCATATTGGTCTTTCTTTTAGTTTGGTACATATGCACATATTTTCAACATGTATTGAGTATACATTAAACTTTCAAGTAGGATCATTTGTGTAAGATGACCATTGATCTTATCAAACAATCGTTTTTTAATGAATATATTTCTCAAATGGTTGGGAACAAACTTTCAGCAAAAAAAGCATTTCACAAAACGTTCTTTTGTATCACTATTTATACCTTCAAGATTGACTAATTGCTTACATATTATCTGCTGTTGTATTCTCATTTTAATCAGACATTCCTATTGGTTTCTATTGTATGATCAAAATCATATCTAGTGTAAAGAAAATATCCGACAAAAAAGCCTAAAAATTTTACAAGCCATGCATTTTCCAATTTAGAAGCACTTCCTCTAACAAGCCGACCATGATGGCGTAAATATGCATCAATATCAAATCGCTTCAATCATTAGCATGTGAAATCTAAAATTCATTACTGTTCGAAAAAAAGATTCAGGCGCTTGATAAGATCATCAATGTCACACGTACTTATTTGAATGTTTAATACAAGGGTCTATAAAATATCAAGTATAATAATACCATTGCAAATTGATTCCATATTTACTTACAAGCAATCATGTCTAAAACTTAGTAAATTCATGACTGTAGTCGTCGATAAACAGACGATGTGAATATGATAGATGAACATAGTACTATCTTCTCTCTAGTTTGTTCTGTCTTACAAGACAAAACAGGACAAACATCATTTGAAACATGTAAAGTTCCTATTTTTATTTTCTATTCTGTAAAATATTGATACGAAATCGACAGTCATATTTTGTTCAATTTATTTTACTCTGCTTTGAAATAAAATGAACATCTTGAATAATAATTCATTCAAAAATAATGCAAAGATATAGATATAGTTGATATGAAATAATGTGATCGAGCTATGCTAGATGAGAATCAAAATTGTTGTTGTTTTCTTTTAAACTATCAATGGATGCATTGTTAGTTTACATTTGTTTATTTTCAAGCACAAATATTAATCGAGCTAGTACAATTATTTTATATTATGTTTGTAACTATCGCTCTCATTGTTCAATTCTCTTATACTCTTGTTTCAATGTTGAACATGTCTTATTCGATTTCACTGCACAGATTAGCCTTCAACTTGTAATTCACAATTCATTTTCCATTATTGTGTCCCTTCATTTCACTCACTATAAAGCATATAGTCTGACAGTATGAGTTCATGCATATAGTCCTAGCTTGTTTTGTTAAACGATAAAACAAAGCAGGAATTTTAATTTCGTCTTGTTCTCTATTTATTTCTGATGCATACACGATGATGATAAGAAATGTGCCATAATAATTGAGTTCTTAAAAAATGAAATGACTAATTAATACTGATTGATCGAAATGCGCCATCTAACTATTCCTCATGTAAATTCGTAAAATGTTGAATATATTTTTCAAGTAATATAATTTCTTGAAACGGAAACAAAAATGAAAGGATATTTATTGGATGAAATGTGGTAGTATATCAGATATTCATCTATCGCTGACCTCTCTAATTTTTTTACTCTTGTGGTTAGAATCTATCGAATCAGACATTACTCTGCTTTAAAACTCTTATTTGTTCTGTTCTCAATATTTACCTTCCTCTTTTCTTTTCTGTTAAAATTCATATAAATGATGCTTTTTTTCTTTGTTGTTATTTTATATTTTGACTTCCTGAAAAGAGTAAACCAAACCCTTTGTATTTATCAATTCATTGCGACATTTGCAAACATGAAAAAAAACTTTTATTGAACAAAATAAAGAATTGTTTTTGTAGAAATTATAGCTCAAGCATAATAATAAATAAGACCTTTTTTATCTATTCATACTGACCAAACATCAGTAAAACTTTAAACTATTATCTCAATCAATAGAAATTTTTAAAAAGTTATTGGATTTTATACTGTCCGATGAATACCTACTTCAGATTCTAAATACTTACGTTCGTATGGCAACTATACATTCCGTGCAATCTAGGTTTGTCTGAATTTTTAAAATATGAGAATAATTTTACTTTTTCTATGTTTGTAGCACATCTCAAAGTTCTAATCAATTGAGACTGGATAATGAGGAAAAAGAAACAGATGCAGGCGATAGTGAGCGAAAATATACGAACCAAAAAGACCTTGATCAACACCAAGTAGGTCATGAATAACGATGATTATTAATTTTAAAGACTTTTACCTTATAGTTAAATTATTACGATAGTCGATCTATTAAATGTTCGTTTTGCCAAGAACTTCAACCATCATCATCTGCTCTAAGTGCTCATTTAATGTTATGTGGAAATAAAACTGATAAATGTCCAAATTGCCGTAAATTTATACGAAGAGCTATTTTCGCCTATCATTATGAAAATAACTGTGCTAACTTGGAAGAAACAGACACTCCTATTCCTCGATTTAGAGATTCATCAGCACATCGTCATTCTTCAAAATCCAACAGACCAGCATCACGACAGAATGACACCAATGATCACGATCAAGAAGATGGCAGTGGTTATATTTCTCCGAATAGTCGAACAATACCATTAAATGAAATTTCATCATCGGCTTTAAACAAGAGTTAGTTTTTCTTTCATTTACGATATATTCAAATTATGAATCTGATTAATTATTTCTTTCTTTATTTCTATGAAGAAAGTTCATCATCTCCGATTATATCTAAGTCTTCTAATAATCAATGTTTATCAAATGATCATAAAATTCATTCAGTATATCCTGTAATAGCACATACGTTCTCAACGTTTTAATATTTCATACTGACTTTATAATGCCTAGGAAAATCGTCTTAACAACTCAATCAAAACGAATGGCCAATTAGAACAAACATCGAATAAAACTCAATGTATTATTTTCCATTGTATTTCAACTTCTAAATGTTCTACTATTTCTGTTTTTTAGTTCGTCCATCAGCAAATAGACATCGCAATTCACACGATATTGTTTATATTCCCTGTGAAATTTGCAATGAACAGATTGATTTACGTTATTGGTCGCCTCATACTGTAAATATATATTTCTACTAATATTTCTGTCCTCCAAATTACTTTATTATAGCAAGACTGTCGAGAACAAGAAATTCGTCGAATAGAAGCTCTTGCTGAGTAAAAATAGTTCAGTTATCAACTAATAGTTTTACATTGAAGTATTTAGAACAATAAATCGAAAATCTGTAACTGAAAAACTTCCTTGTGAATATTGTGAAGAATTATTGGCAGTAGAACAACTTCGAACTCATGAAGTAATTGACTAATTGAGCATTGTTTTATAGAAAAATATTCTACCATAATTATTAAACAGACAATTTGTCGAAAGAATCCTGATAATATAATTCGAGCAACTAAACTTATTAAGCCTCAACCATTATCAACAGTTGCTCTTACAAACAAGTCGTTAAAAACTGACAAAGATCCAACATTGTTATTAAGTAAGTTGAAAAAGTATTATAGTTTCTAACTGTACCGAAGCAAAACTTACATTGAAATCATGTCAAGCTTATTCTTCTCTTCAACCGACGTTAACACCAGCTTACAATTATTCATCATT